TGTACAGCCAGAGAAAATCTGATCGGTTCGCGGGGGTCATCAGCCACTGCTGGGCCTTCTCTGGGAGGTCTATCTCCAGTTGAGTTCCCACTGTTAGGAACTGTACTCGTAGGTCTGAGAATTCGAGACCGTCTCCCAATATTTCGATCCCCATTGACTCCAATACCTCCCTTAGGACCATAGCTACATCCTCCGGGATACACTCCTGAATTCGAATGACGTCTTCCAGACGCAATGTCATTTCGGACAAGGGTTGTACTGGGAAGTTGGTCCTGCTATGGTGTATTGCGTGTGTACGCTCCCAGTTGGGCGTCATAGCTGGGCTTTTCAGGAGACTGGAGAGCGAACTTCCTCGTCTCGGGAGAGGAAGGTTAAGGGACTGTACTGGAGGCGTTGGTAACCTCCGGGATGACGTCCGAGATTGTTCGGATACGGCAGGGGATACCCTCCTCTCTGGAAGTTTCTCCTGTTGTCGTACTGAGAGAGGGTCAGTACTCCCCCCTTGTATCCTTTCGATAGCGGCTACTTGACCGCTGACTCTTCCACCCGCGTTCGAAGCTGACTCCATGTCTAGCTGCGGTACCGGTCCAGGGGGAGGTCCTCTCGTTCCCCAGGTAGGGGAGTATGCGAAACCTCCCATGGGACTACTGGCAGGTTGGGCGTAACCCATGGAGGTAAACCTCCATTGTGGTGGTCCCATCCCAGGTTCCACTGGAGGGGGCCCCTGAACCTCCGGTTGACGTCCCTCTGGGGTCCGGATGTTGCTGGCGGTTTCATCCCCGAACGACTGTTCTGGGATGGACATCCGGCGTTGACCAGCTGCCACCGTGATAACAGTGGAGCTAGCAGCCTGGTTCGATTTTTGAGCTTGTGTCGTGTTTCCACGAGATAAGGCGCTCTTTTGTTTCTTTGATTCGGTCTTGGAACTAGAAGGTCGTTCCGTTGACGTCGCCGACATTTCGTCGCGACGAGTCCGTTCGGTGACGGGAGAGCTTGGTATAATGTAAGACCTGGGTCAAAATGGGTCTTAGGGTAGGTTTGGTATATGAAGTTTTATGTTGTAGCGTGCTAGGAGCAGGCTGGAGCTCGAAGGGAGCTACGAGAACCGCGACCGAGGACGGGAATGACCTAGTAGTGGCTGGAACGACGAGATGGTGACCCTTGAGGGGGTTCCTAGGAGGTCCAGGGAAGTCCCTAGGGCGTAGGGAGGTTATGGAAGAGTGCGGGACCGTACAGTATTGCGTAGTAGGAGTTGTACTCGCTAGAACGTCAATATAGGATCGAGTAGGTCGTATATGCAACTGGGTCTCGAGAGTGTAAGCTCCCGAGAAGGGATATGTCAGGAAGGGTAGGTCCCTGGGGGCTGAGCTTGAGGATGGACGTCCTCGAGTGTGGGAGGTGGTAACGGAGAAGCAATACGTAGTCCGACGTGAGGGGTAGCTTCGACGTTACCTAGATCGAGGTCCTGAAGCTTACGAAGTACCTAGGGAGCTCTGGGAGGTTTGGGGGAGGGTAGCTCACCAAGGCGGGTAGGCGTTGGGGAGCTTTAGTAATGTTCGAGGGAGCTCGGGGACTCACTCGGAAGGCTTAGACTTGAAGTGAAAGCGTATATTCAATCGTATAGATGATCAGAGAGACAATAGACAGAAGTAGAGAGAAACAGAGGTAGAGAAACAGAGAGTAAAGAGAAATCCGTATGGTTAGCAGGTACAAAGGGACAGGGACTGGACCTATGCAAAAGGGTGTGTGTTCAAAATATACCAAGCTGGGGCTTCGGGACGTATCAGAGCTACTTAAATAGGTACAGGAAGTGATCAAGGGAACATCAGGGGCCATGAGGCGTGTAATCGAGATTAGTATCTTAATGGGGTAGGTGTAGGAGGGCTTCGACGCGTGTCGGGGGAGGTTTAGGAGCTGTCTTGGATAGGTACAGGCGTGGATCTGGGAGGTACGGGCGTGGATCGGTACTGAGGGGTGAGAGTGTTTGGCTGATACTGGGGCTGTCCTGGTCGTCACCATTAAGAGGGCTGTGGATAATGGTCGAGGCATGACACAAGTGCATAGAGTTATCAATCACAGAATTAGTACTTACAAGTTACATGTTTGTAGATTCCGTCGGAACCTCACTAGACCATCACAACCTCTACTGGATAGTACCCCTGTTAATGAACCTTCCTCTTTCGCAACCCTCTGAAATCTTACTGGAAGTAAGCAGGTGTAGAGCACCAGATCTGGGCGCTCGTTCGAGAGATGCGTTCATGATACTTGCAAGAATTGGGACAATTTTATGAAGAGCATGTCGTTACAGACTTCTATTATCTTGTTGAAAAGCAGGAGTATTCACGAGGTACTATAGGAATCGGAAAGCAATGCGCGAGTTACACTCGATGATGCTCGGAGGTGTTAGCCAAAGACAGTGATTCTAGTGACGTTACAGTCACATTCTTCTGTAAAAATCATGCACGTGATACGATCCGTTCTTCCTCGACCTAACTCAGTTGTCCAGAGTCAAACTCTAGACGAGCTATCCTCCTATCTACCTAATCCAACCGAAAGGGCTCGCAGAAGGAACACACATGTGCTACATACTGTATCAGTGTATGGACTGCGAGTTGAATAACGTCAAAACCTCAACTCGATCATCCGACATTTGGAAGCAAATATGTCGAAAAAGACTAATCGCAGACGACGGTGGCCATCCCTACATTAGTTATATCCATAGCACAGCAGCCCATGTATCGCTACTAACCTCGTCACAATCAAACTTGAGGATATGCAGGTATATCTTGTTCTATCAGCTTGCAAGAATTCCCAAAACTCACAAAATATAGGAATGAGAATTTCGGTATATGTGAATCACCTCCTCCCCTGGATTGGAGGCCCCCATCCAAATATCGTATTCGTACTGTCCTCATCATGGGACGATAGCCTGACGAGGCACAGCCCCATGGCTCAGATAGCGCCATCTTCTCGGAACAGTTTTGGTTTCTCGCCTCCTGAAAGAGCCAGACTCCTTCCTTCATTGCTCATGGCTCATGATGACGGAGTACCTCGTCCCTGGGACTTTTGCAAGTCTTCGGCTGGCTGCATGCCAGATTTTGCGTCGAGAAATCACTCGTTCTCTAATGGTGTCGAAGGCTTCAATGGCTGAAGATCCTCCTGATCGTCTAGTGTTGCCTTAATTCGGCTCATTTGAACACCAAGCCAGGGATCTGAACGTGGATGACGACGGTACAGCTTGGTCTTTACTCTTCAAAAGGCCAAACTCCGTCTTTCATCGCTCACTCATGATGACGGAGTGCCCCGTCCCTGGGACTTTTGCAAGTCTTCGGTTGGCGACATGCCAGATTTTTCGTCGAGAAATCGCACAAGTACTCTAACCGTGTCGAAGGCTCGAAAGGTCACTCAGGATCTCTCTCCTGATTGTCCACTGTTGTCCTGATTTTGACTCATTCTAAACACCAGGATTTACTGTCTGCTTTGTTCTGTACTGCATACTCCGTGGCGGGCAACACGCTGATGCTCTTACTGAAAACTTGCTTATCGTGAGCTGTGGACGATTCGTCCTTGTACCACTATCAATCCTCAATGATAGTGTTTATCTGGAGCTTATTTCTTTCCTAAATCATGTGGATGCATATCTTCCTGGGAGCCCAGCACATTTGGCTCACAAGAATCGGATGTGGGCAATAAAGGCCCCAGGTTGGATAGATCATGCATTTCTCTGGAATGATTCAGAATCAGTCCATATTTCCGACGGTATCAACAGCCGTGCCAAGGAAGGAGGCGACAATGGCTTGGTGTGGTCCTGAGATGCCAGGTCGTCGGAAGTGCCCCGATGATCAAGATTTGAAATAGCTCATAACTTCTCCACGACGCCCAGCTGAGGGAAGAATGAAGGCTCCCGCTACTATTTTTTGCGGGGATGTGACGCCCCGTGACCTTAGGGTGCGTGTTATACTAGGTTATACTGTACCTTTTCGCCAGTGGATCTTTCATCTTATCAAGTAATTCATCGTCCTCATTGTGTTTCAAGCAAGTATTTTTGATGCTCGGAACCATGCGAAAAGTTTACCTTCGAAGTTCCAGGATATTCAGGCCCAGGATCTGAACGTGGAGCGTACAAACTCGGAGTTCAATCGTTAATGAGAGAAGGTTATTCACTCCGGAAACAATGTCTCGTCGAGCCGAGCGGTGGTATCCGTCTCCCATATAGTGAAAACCCCGCTCATACTTCAGCAAGCGCAAAAGGATCTGGTGTAGGGTTTTCAGCAACATCGGGCTCATATTGAAGCTGATGGTAATAGGGAGCGAGGGGACAGGTACGGCTATGGTGGTACTCAAGATGAATTCATGAATTCCTCTCTCACCTGCTTTGACTCATTAATAGTTAATGTATCCACAATCTGCTATTTTTTTGCTCCCCATAAACGTGACGTTTACTCTCAATCCAATGTTCCCCGTGCCCATGTTCAGACGTCTCAAAGGCGCGAATTCTTACGAAGGACATCGCTCCTGTCCATCTTCATGAGAACGTTTGGTGATGTCGTTGAAAGTGCATTTATTTGATCCCATCGTCATGGCACAGCTATACTACAGGTCACAAATTCTCGTGCTTTCTAAATTTCACCCTTTATTGTCTTGAGCTGCTAACAGAATCAAATTCTTCATTCCTCTTGGTTTTTGGTTTGAAAACTTGTGTCCTGACAGACTATTCATTATCACTGCACACGCCGTCGTCGCTGATCACGCGCTCCGACTCATTAACAGTATATCCACGAGGGAACGTCCGGTTTCAAACCGTTGGCATCATTGGTGGCACTCCTTTTCTTCACGTTCCGCTCGAGCGTCTGGTCGTTCATCTCATACACTTGTCCCGCGATTTGCTCTAACCGTGTCTGCTTGTAGCGCGCTGCCTCAAAACACCACGATCCTTTCCCTATCGTTCTCAATACCAAGCAGAGTCTCGTCGCTTCTCCTTTCTTCCTTCCTCAGTCTCCATGCATAGACCTTCCGAAGAACTACAATGGCGCTATGAAATGCGAGAGACACGGGGGATCTCAAATGCGGATGGCCAGGGATATCTTTACGCCTACGTGGACAGTGATAGATGGAAGGTTGGAATGACCAACGAATTTGTTCGTCGTCAGGTGGAGTGGGACAAGGATTGCCCTTACCCATGGAGAATCTGGCTTCTGCCTATCCGGGTTGCGAACAGGCGGAGAGCAGGTGAGTTTCTTGACACCTCATTACCCCCACATCACATCTCATTGGCCTTTAGAGGCATTGGCACATCTTTTGCTCAAAATGGAGTGTCTTCATCGCCCGTGAACGTACTGTCAACGTTGTACGTTCCGCAGTCTCACTTCTCGGTTCATAACACTGCATGTCTAACATATAGGCCAACGAATACATATTGAAAAATTCATTTTTTCTGGAACATGGCACGTCGTCTGGAGCACGATCGTGTATCCTATCTTTTTGAGGGCTGCTGTTTTATGAAGGTACGCTATTTATTACATTCTAGACTATCTTAGCTAACAACTCAATAGTTAAAGTAAATCATAGCGCATCACTTGCATCTTGTTATTGTCAATTTTGAACCTGGGAAATAGAATATGAGCTGCTAGGCTTTGCAATGCATACAATACACGGACAAAAAGATATGCCTGTGCCCTTTGATGCTCGATAGCGAATATTTACTATACACATATCCAGAGTCGAAGAACCGGTAGAACCGTCGACCCGGTCGACTCATATAACTACGAACACTCAAATGCACAAAATACTCGAGCATGTCAAGGTCCTCAATCAATCCTCAATCATTCGAAGGTTCCCAACCACTTCAAGGCCCTCAGACTTAATGACAGAACTTGCAAGGACTTCCTGAGCGGCACCGAAAGCTAGGCCTTGTGCACGCAGAACCCAATATATATGTGTGTAAGTACCGTTGAAATGAAAAGTTGTTCCCCATGTTTCAATACCGACATCCCCGACATTAGCGTTGTCACGCGTTCCGACATCCCGACGTCAGGGACGTTCCGACGTTTCGATGTGTCGACTTCGGTGACGTCTGGACATTCGGACGTCCCGACATCGGGTACACATAAGCTCTGCGAGGTTTTTCAAAAGAACTTCGCTATTTACACGAGGCGGTTACTTGTATGATATTTTAATTTACCCCAGTGAGAATCTTGAGCTGTTTTTTAATACAACCTCCAAATATCACTTCTATTTGCCCTATTAGGATGAGTTTAATAGCATACAAATAATCGAGGCCAAGAAATTATATACAATCCGTGCGAGTTTTAAGTTAATTTCCTTATAAATGTTCGTTGTAGGATATTTTGAGAAACCGCTCAATATTAACTCTATAAGATGCATCCATTTATGGGAGAAACATTTAAAAGTTTCGCTGTTCGGAAATTGAGGTGTTTATGTACCAAACCTCCCTTTAAACACAACCTTTCCTCGACGAGGAAACGGATCGATCCCCGCAGTGAGAGTGCAATTGGTTAAAAATGTCTGGTATGGGCCGCAACAGCATCATCAAATATTCACTTGGTGTGAGACTATTGAATAATGCATCTTGTTAGCCCAGGTAGTAGATGCTCATAAGGTATACATACTTAGAAGAACGGGATTCTTCTACTGGCCAGTATATTTTTCGTTTATGCACAGATCGAAGGGTACATTGAAGATTTGAGAGTATTCTGGTGAGTGTCTTGTCGCCAAGCTGAGACTCTTTCCATTGCAGCGAGGACGAAGTCTCGGTTGGACTTGGCGACAGAGAATCGGTTGCTGGCCAAGATAGTGGAGGGAGAAAAACTGTGGAAAACATTTTGTCAGGGTGTCTCAATATCGTTGAGTACAGACGAAGAGTAGAAGATCTAAACATGCACTGTGGGATATAATAATATCATCATCGCCAGGCCCACGCTTGCCTGGTTGCAGGGGTTCGAGGAACGCGCAAACATTCAGGTGCAAAACTACAACACCTAATAGGGCCTGACCGGGAATTGAACCCGGGACCTCTCCCAAATTTCTCGTATCTACGAGGGGATATCCCGAAGGGAGAATCATGCTACTAGACCATCAGGCCGACAAAATTTGATCCATTCTTACTCCTAGTAAATCATGCGTCACTAGCGCATCGTACAGGCAACGTACTCATTCCGATTATGCATCATGCATCAACGTTTAACCTTCCGCCATCATCATCAACTACTTTTCTTCACACATTTCTTTTTGTGTGCTGCCCAATCCTTCTTCTGACATTCAGGTCCACAATATCTGACCTTCCGACATTTGCTACATTCATGCAACTTGGGTTTCCCTCTGCCTCTGCATAGCCAGCACCTGCGTGAGTTGATATCTCTCAGGATTGGTTCGAGGTATGTCACAGCAAACAGCGGCGACAGGGCAATTCGGGTGGCATAAGGTGCAAAGGGACGCCAAGCTGCGATTTCTGACATTCCCTCTACGTCCTTGCCTTCACCGCAACTACAAATAGGGTTGTTTTCAATCTCCTCGGTAAGTGGGATCCTTCCTAAAGCCTTGTACTCGCAGTTCTGTCCGTGGGACCAAGTGCGACAACGTTCGACAAATGCTGGAATGAGATGCTTCCACGATGCCACCTCTCCCTCCATGAGTTGTATGTGCTCCACGTTGGCAGTGTTGACCAGCTTGGTAAAGGGACGGTTGTGTCTCTCCAGTATGTCTTCGGTCAATGGCAGGATAAAGGCATCACATACGACAGTGTGTGCACTTTGGTCATAGCGTAAGCCGTTAACGAATAGCAACGTGTCGGTATTGTGGGTTCCTTTGTCCATGAGAGAAAACAAACGCCGAGCTTTTCCTCCCTGAATACCGCTAGCTCGTACCATGATAGCGTGCAGGGTATCTTTGACAAAGATGAGATCATCTTTCTCATGCCTTTTACGTTCCTTCCGCTCTCTCGTAGACATCATCGATCCAATGTGAGGATTGAGCCACTTGTATAGTTTCGTGGGGTGTGAGCAGTCAAGAAACGGTAATCGCGAAAGGTTGACATAGTGAACATTCCATGCATGGATCTCTGGGCACATAGCTGAAGCCAGCACAACTGGAAACGGTCGAGTTGGCATGCCTCCATTTTGAGAAGGCCCCGAGGGAGGTACAAGAAGCTGATATGATTCAAATTTGTTTCAAAGACTGACAACGTACATTCAATATCGCACTTACCTCAATCCACAATGACTTCCGAGCCAGTCGTAAGCGATTATCCTTCCCCCTTATAGGAACCGGGAAAATGACCATTTGCGAAATCCCGGACACTGTGATACGGGCAGTACACGGCGAAAGCTGTTTGATTTCAGGAATGGCACCAAGCGAGCCATATGAATGGATGACGTCGGGGTTTTGAATGTCAATCCGAGTAGATAACCAGTTGACTACCTCACATTCCTCGTTGAAGCTCGCTACTACTGGTCTAGAAGGTCCAATATGTTGCGGGATTTTCGAGAACACGGGAGTGGAAATCTTTGAAGGCGACAGAGATTCTGGCAAAACCTGAACTTGCGTCTCATCTAATAGGGCAGCACTATACACATTGAGATTCATGCCAAGTTTTTTTGTGAACATTACAGAGGCTCCAGTGCTTCTGATAGAAAAATTGACCTTGAGCTGGTCCTGAGGTTCAATATTGACCAACAGCTGCGTGGGCATCGTAAATGAAACTACAAGGGGTGATCTACCCTTCAACCCATCTCTATCTTCTTCAAACGAAAGCCGAGGGGATGCCTTGGATCCCAAAGTGGAGACCCGACCAAATGCTGCATGTACGGCAGAAAAAGCGTTCATAGACCACAACCCTGAAACATGACATTGGAGAATTGGTGTCTGAGTCGCCATATTCGGACTTTCGGCGAATACTTCTTCAAGCACTGACCGCGGTACTGTGAGTATGATGCGAACCAATTGTGGGACTGACGACCATTGACTGAACCTTCCAACTCGAGAAAGAGAGCCGCGATAGGTGGGAACAGTGTATACACCATACCTGTACAGATGGGAATGAAAGTCTTGTCGATTAACGGTATCCATGGGCATGGTAGTGTCTCCTTCTTGAAGATCGAGAAATCGTTCCATGACAGATCCCCAATCTTCAACTGACAGACCAAGATTAGACCGCGCAAGCCGCAAAAAAAGAACAAAGCTTTCTCGGTTATAGCTGATCAAAGATGATTTTGAGATTGCTTTCAAGTTGGCTCCATGCTTCGCCCAGTAGGTCATAGCATCCTCTTCCTCGAACATGCGGTGATACATATCCCAGAGAAACGTTCCCAGTTGCATGGTATCAAAGGTAACAGAGGGTTGGACATCTACAGGAACATCTGCGGACATTGGGGACTTCCATGTTGTCACTTGATGAAACTGACCACCATCTGCGAAATTGTGCAGCATGATTTCGTGCGTGTTAGACCGAGTGAAAAAGTTCGAAAGATAGTCGATAGGCGCTACTCCTAGAAGCAAGGAGACTGTCCCTAGATCAGAAAAAAGCTGCTCCGTGAGCTCCTTGGTAGCGTCTTCTCCTTTGTAAAGTAAAGATTCAGTGTAGATAGTGCCATCCACTGTTCGTAGTGGAATGGTAGACACAAGGATATTCAGATATCCAACGTGGTCGACCAGGTTGGACGTGTCAATCACATTGAAAATTGTAGGAGCACAGCTCAATAAAGATCCCGTTGCGGAGTACTGAGCACTGTCAAAAGTCAGCATTGTAGCCTTCCATTGCGAGATGGGTGTCACGGTTTGAATGCGGTGATTATCATTCAAATCACGGAAAGCCCGACAGAGGGCAGTAGCCTCAGAAAGGACAAAGCGCAAAGCGACGCTTCCGGGTTGAGAACTGACACGAGTATAAAAAGCATCAGACCATTCTCCAAATTGCTTTTGAGCGGACACCACTACATCTTTCATACCCAGGGCTCGAGTGGCATTACCAAAGAGTGCAGCAGAAGGAAAAGGTGTAAGCGGTGAGGTCCCATAATGTACATTACAACCTTCGCCCACAAACGAGTAGGCAAATGTTGGGTTGATCATTGTCGCAGCAGTTACCACCCTGGGGTCTGTGGAAGAGACACCAGTACGTGCATAGTGCTTCATATGCTCCGAATAGACAGCGCTGGCCATGAGCATGAGAGGCCCCGCCGCTCGTGCGGATGAGAAAATGGTACCTTTTGACTTCTCGCTCGCTTCTTGACTTTGCTTAGCAAAGGCATCGCGAAGGAATTTCTGCCTGTCCGAAGGAAGACTTTCCATCTCGACGTAGAGCTGCCAATGACGCCTCGCTTCCTCTAAAGTATGAAGCGTCGAAAATTTTAGGACGGACCCATAAGAAGAATTTGCCCAGTCGCTTTGGCTGCGTGAAGTTTGGCATAGCTTTTCACAATGTGCAGTGAGTGTTGAATATGTGCCGCGGTCGATCTTCAGGTCAAAGAATATATTCCACATTGTCGAAGATGGAACATTGTCGATGATCATTGTCAAAAGCAAGATATTCCTAGCTACATAGCATATATCATCATGAACAAATAGACCTACAAGATTTGAGCTGCGACACACACCTATAATCCCAGGATCCATATCACTGCAAGTGATATCTAGATGCCGTTCTTCCAGGTGTATCTATATCAGTTGCAGGCGGAATACTAAATTATGATCATGCATACCGCTGCCAGACGCTTCATTGTACACAGTGAAAAGTACGTTTCGAGGGTCACCGCAGCCCAGTAGTAGAATATCTGCAGGGGTTTGAGGTGAAAGATCCCGCGTCAGAGAAACGGTCGGGGTGTTCCCAATGCCGTAGAAAAAGTATCTTCCAGGCCAATATAATGGCTGAGACATTGTCGAGTTGGTTAGAAGTAAACTGAAGTAAAGCCAAGCAAGCAACGAGAATGCAACGAGGTGTTGCCAATGCATCATTTATACTTTTTTGAAGACCAATCAGGAGTCCACTCCATCTGCGTGGGTATATCCTCGTGTTGCTGTGCTCGCAAAATGGAAGCCATATTATGGTTTTCTCCTAGTCTTCATGATTGTAGGGCGCAAGTGAACCTAAGTAGCAGTTTGCACAATATTCCATAAGCAATAGTGGATTATATTCTAGTTTCAAACATGTTGTGCTCAATGATCCAAAATCTGAGCATTGAAGTCAGGCCATTGCCAAAGAAAGAGATACAAACCACCACACGTTAGATATATCAAAATATAATAAGTTCGAACCTCAGCGTGATAAGAAAGCTCGTGTATTCTCTACCTATCAAAATATAATAAGTTCGAACTAAGGTTATGGTAAGCAACGATAAGTATCAAACGAAATAAACATAATAACTCACCCTCAGTGTGATAAGAAAGCTGAGGGCATTCAACAACAATTTCTGTATATAAATGAAATGATAAGCAAGATCTACTTGCTGTTTCGTCAAGGGATAAAACGGTTATCGGAAACACAAAGATAACAGATTTGAAACAATATATGTACTCGAGAGATTTGTACCCCTCCGGGACTCGTAAGAACTGCTTTGGCCGACGGGGTATTTGTCCAATAAGATATGTTAAATCTCAGTTGATAGTTAAACAACTGTATTCGGTACCTGGTAGATATGTTCAATCTACTCTTATCAGTATGTAGTATGTAGTTTAATATCAGGCTCACCTCAGTTGGTAGTTAAACAACTGAGGTGTTTGAGCTCGCCATAATGTGAGATCTAGTATGTACTGTATAGTTTATAGTAATAACATGGATTGGGAAGTATCAAAGCTTGTACTGTGGGGGTAGTACATACGGAGTACTCCCCAACACCCCCTCTACTCCATACAATCCAGTCTGAGGAGTGAAACCAGTTTGTGGTGGGTGGTGCCATTCAGTGCCTTTGTGAAAATGTCCACAACATTCTTGCCAGAGCAGACCCATTGGATAGTGACTTCTGCACTCGCCACCTTCTCCTGCACGTAGTGGTGGCGCATTTTGATGTGCTTCACAACAGCATGTTGTTTGGAGTTCTTGGTTGGGCACACTGGCCCGGGGTTGTCACCCACTCCTATGCCAGGTTGACTTCCACCAGAAAGGATGATAGCCGGATGGCTTGTTGTGCAGCTCTCGAGAGGCCAATGTATTCTGATTCTGTGGTTGAGAGTGCGACGGTTGCCTGGTGCTTTGAGCACCATGACATGGGAGTGCCCCCCATGAAGAAGATATACCCGGAAGTTGAACAATATGTGTCCTGGCATCTGGCGTGGTCAGAGTCTACATATGCATATGGCTTCAGACCTTTCCTTGGCTGGGGGTCTGGTGTGTGGTAGGTGCTCTGTAGGTTATTGTGTAATCCAGAGTTTGGAGAATGTACCCAGCTACCCACTTGTACTCCCAGTGTGCTTGTCCGAGGTTGAGTTGATACCTTGCAAGTAAGCTTTCTGCAAACACCAGATCCGGGCATGTACAGACCTGTCCCCACAGGATTGATCCAACAATGGCCCAGTATGGTTTGTCCTCCATGAATAGTTGTTTGTTGTCTGGAAATGGGTTCGGTGATTCCTGGAGCTTAACACCAGGCAGCAGGGGTGTGTGACAGTGACATACTGTTCCGAGTCCAAAGTGAGTGAGCATTCATTGGAAGTATGCTTTCTCAGAGATGGTAATTGCTTTGGACTTGTTGTCCTGTCATATTGTCATCCCCAGTAGTACCTCCATATTCACCTTGTTAGCTTCCCATTGCTTCCCCAGGTCTGCCACAGCCTTTGCTCTGCCCATCATGGTCAATGCCCCTCAGCATATGTCATTGCTGTAGGTGCTCATGATTGTATATTTGGTGCCCTCCCTCTTGTACCATATGCACAGGTCAGCTCATGACATGATGTATACATCTTCCTTATACCCTGCTGTGAGTGTCTCCTGCCAGTTGTGGCTACCTTGCATAGTCCTATATATGGATTTCTTCACTTTGCATACTAAGTGGCCAGTTCCCAGTTTCACAAACCCTTTGGGTTGTTTCATGTACATGTCATGAGCAATGGGGCTGTTGAGGAAAGCAGCTGTGAAGTCTACTTGGAAAATAGATAGTTTGAATACTGCAATAATGGCTAACACAATTTGTACAGATTCCATCCTAGCCACTCCACCATATGTCTTGTTGAAGTCCTGGCATTGGGTATACCCTTGAGCCATGTATCTAGCTTTGCACTTCAACAGGTTACCTGATGCATCAAATTTGATTGTGTGGGTCCATCAGCCTTCTGTTAGATTCAAGTCTGGGGGTAACAGTATGGGATCCCAGCAGTTGTTTTCCATCAGTGTCCAGAATTCTTTCTCCATAGGTTCACACCAGAGTGCCTCTTGTTTCATTGCTTGTTTGTAGGACTGGGTACCCACAGGTCACCGGATATTGCAGCAAAGGCATATGGTCTCATGCTATCAATGTGTTAAGATCATGTACACTGGAAAGCCATGCCAAGGGCCATATGGTGTCTAAGTGTGGAAGGTTGAATGGGACAGTGGTGAAGTTATTAACAGCACTGCCATTATGTTGTTAGTCCCCAGTAACGAGCTTGCCTTGTTTTTGTGTAAAAGAGAAAGGAAAGAATCAAATGGGCACTCCAACCAACCAATCTAATACACAATATGCAAGTTCACTGCTATCAAATTTATTTAATAGCAAGGGGTAGCATTGTCAGAAGTTCTGCAAAGCTTTTGAGAGCTAAGGAAAAAGCTTCAATCAATCAATTTAAATTGTTCGAAGGATTCGGTATATTCTTGATTAAGGTAGATTCAGCACAATCTGTCCTTTAGTGATATTGATATGGGTGTCATAAAGTACGCAGCCCCTATCATTTTCCTTTTCTCACCGTCTCGACGCCTTTACTTGTACAATACATCATCCCATCACTGTCAAACCCCCATCGATTACTGATCCACCTGACCCATCTTCTCCTTCTACTGGCTTCCGCCACCTTCCTTGTTCCTAAACTGTACAGTATTACATCGTTGTTTCTCGCAGACCGGATTATGTATATATAGCCAACCCTCCACAGCCTGGTCCCTTATCTTGACCTCTCTGTCATTATCTGGGACCAGGTATGTGCTTACTTACTATTACCTATGACTACGATACTCAATATATCTCTGTCATTATCTGGGACCAGTCTGCCGCCGTTCTGCTTAGTCGCTCCGCTTTCCCGCTCCGTTAGTCACTCCGCCTCTGCCGCTTCGTGACATTAGGTCAAGATCCATTACTGCACTGACAGCCTACCGATAAGGTTGTCCTTGCAGGGTCTATAGACACCACGTCTTCCCCAGTTCCGCCCGACTCTGAAACACCTGTTGCCAGTATAGACTGCTCCGCACTCCCGCACGCACTTGACCCCAGAGATCAAGCTCACGCCCATAACAACGACGATACTTGGCGCGATTGCCAGTCTCAACCTTGCCCCAACGCCCTTCCCAACTCAATCCGAGAGCCACTCACTGTGAGCAATATAACCTTCCTGCCGATTCCCCAGCCCCGATTGCCTACTCCCATCATGTCGACTCCTATCCCGCCTGCCCCAAACACCTCTGCGGAGGATCTCATGGCTCAGCTCATCAGACAAGTAGCTAACCTTGCTACAGCTATGGAGGAACGCTCATCCTCTAAGTCAAGCATGAACAAACCCGAGGTTTTCAAGGGTAAAGATGGCGCTGAAGCCCGTCGCTTCATGGCTCAGTTCCAGAATTGGGCGTCAGAACAACCGGATCTCGCCAAAAGCCAAGTAAAACTCATCAAGCCCGCCTTGGGCTTCTTCATAGAAAGCGCCGGAGATTGGGCAACTCCCCATCTGCTACATTTCAATGCGGAAAATCCCCCTTTCGGAGGAAATTGGGAGGCGTTTCTGAAGGAATTTAGCCAACGGTTTGAGCCAATGGACCCAGGTATGGAAGCCCGTAGCGAGATCAAGAATCTCAGGCAAAGTAAAGGACAGACAGTTGCGGAATTCGCTCAGAAGTTCAAGGATATCGGAGATCGGACTGAAATGTCTGATATTGACTTGCGGGAACGTTTCTTCACTGCATTACTCCCAGAGATCCGACAACACCTCATCACCGTAAACATTGCCCAAGGAATTGCTCCGACTCTGAAGGAGGCAATCAAACGGGCCATATCGGTGGATGTCTACCTGCACGATCCCACCATGACTGGCCAGAACTCTGGATACCCTCCCACGCATACCACTCATACTACCCCTGCTGACCCCCACGCTATGGACATTGATGCAACCCACACCAGTAATGGGAATACTAGGGAGGCATTCCTAGCTCGCATGCAAGGACGATGCTTCGGCTGCAGTACCCAAGGTCATGTCAAGCAAAACTGCCCACACCGAGAAACCACCTGCCGCTACTGTGGACGCCGAGGACATCTGGAAGCAGTCTGCCAAGACAAATTCATGGGACTCGGACAAGACCGAGGCCGACGCCAGCAACCTCGACGCCAACAGATATCCGCTACGGGACCCGCGCCATTCTCCCTATTCCCAAACGAATCCGTCCAAATCGCGTCCTCGACCCCAACATCTGCTCCTGCACCTGTAGCTGCTACTCCGAGCCCTCCTAACCAGGACTTTTCCAATCAGATTGGTCAAATAAGGGAATTACTTGATTGTGCTAACGCTATGTCCTCCTCGTCTTCTGGCTTTCAACAGGGTTTTTAAAGAGGGTACCCGCTTCGGCTGCACCGAGAGTATCCCGTAATCAGTTTGTTATGTTCGCTACTTCTTCGTATGACTCGCACCCATCATGTACAATATCGTCGATCCGGGAATTAAACTCCACGTCCCCACATTTCCGAATTCATGCGAGACTAAGAGGAAGG